GCACATTGTATATCTTTTCTTATTTTTTATACGATGTTTTTGCCATTTTATTCTAGAAAACATTGGCAATTTTCTTAACCTGCTATTTCTAGTACATGGCAAAACGAAGAGAAAATGTTTTCACACAAAACATGGCAATTTTTGTAAAGCACATGACAAATTTTGGCAAAACTTTACAATTTTGGCAAAAAGTAAAATAAAATGGCAAAATTCATTGTTGTACCATGGCAAAAAATCTTACTTTTCATGATTGCAAATTTGTCTTTATATGATGGCAGTTTTTTCTGTTACCATGGCGAATTATATTTGTGGACCAGGGCAAATTCTTCTTTTCTTACTTTTAATGATCGAAAAATTATTTTAGTGCCATAGCTATTTTATTTTTTGTAACATGGAAAATTATACTATTGGAGCATGGCAAATTATTTATTTTCTTACTTTTCATGGTGATAAATTTAATTTAGTACCATGGCAATTTTATTTTTTGTGACATGGCAAATTATATTTTTCATCCATGGCAAACTTATTTTTGTATATCATCATTATGTTCATTTTTTATCATACAATGGTATATTCTTGTTGAGTAAATTATTTCTCTGGACCATGGCACTTTTATCATGCACATCATTGCGAATTTATTGAACAAACCAGGGTTAACTCCCTCACCGCCGCCGAGGGTCTCTGTCGGGCGAAGCCCAAGCAGTGCCGGTGGTTGCGGGGCCTCCGATGGGTGCGGCTCCTCTCCCTCCCTGGCGGTGGCATGGCTCCGATGTGGTGGTGGCGGTGCTGCTCGGTGATGGGTGTGGCGGGGTGCTCCGCCCGGTGGTGTGCCCCAGCTTGCAGCGATGGCTTGGGCTGTAGATCCCTCCAATCTGATCTAGGTGGGCTGGTGGAGCTCGGCCCAAAGAAGCGGTCGACTGATGCGGCCTAGGGCTTTGGTTGGCAGGCTTCAGGCCATGGATGTTGGCAGGCAGGTGGCGGCGGGCCGGATCGGGGCAGGATGGGGGCCTGCCGCCCTGAAAATAAGTGTGGTTGTCCTCGTGCTCTTTTCGCATCATGGCAATGTCCTACATGATCGGTCCTCCTCGATTTGGTCATCGATGTGTTCCAGACTGCTGCTGGAGATCCTGCCCAAGATATCCAGATCGAATAGAATTTGGTCGTGTACGCCATATCAGCTTAAGAGGTTCCATGACAACGTGGCGCAAAGCTCTATTGTTTGTTGACATCATGGGACATGTCGGCTTCTCGATTTCTATGGTGTAGAAAGTTGTGTAGAAGGTCATGGTGGCTCAGATCGGAGGATCGATTAGACGAACAGAGCCTTTGAGGCGATGGAGTTAGCTAGGTGTTTGATAACTCTCAGGAAGAGCAGTGTCAAATGGGGGTGGCAATACTGGAGGAATTCATTTTTTGTGGTGCTCCTGGGGTACCGAGCGTGACTTTCATGGTGAAAACCTAAGGTTTGGCCTTCATTGCCTGTGCCTGAACATTGAAAACCTAAGGTCTGGCCTTCATTGGTTGTGTGTGACAATTGCCTTGCTGAAGGAATTGTTCTGAGAGCTCGGAGTTCTCCATCGTGAAAACCTAAGATCTTGGATGAGACAATGATGGTGCTTGTGCATTGTTTCCTTTTTGGAGGCGTTGCTTTTGAAGCCCTTTTATATTTTACAGGTGTTGTATTTAGTTGTGGTTTGTGTGTATCTGCTGAGAGAAGTCGATCGCTGTGGCGGAACCTTTGTTTTTTTCCTTTTTTCTTTTCTTTTTTTCTTCGGCTGTGTGTATCCTGGATGTCGTTTTACGACATATTATAAGTGCAGAGACTTGATGTAGTTGATATCTGTGTGATATTAAATATTCTTCTTTTCAAAAAAATTGAAGGGAATGATGATCGGGCTGGACCGCTGGAGGCCCAGTAAAGGGGCCTGCATCGAGGGTGTTCGCACGTGGAGGTGTACCATATTAGCAAACTAAAATGTCTGCTCGTCCCCCGTCCTGCATCGAACGATTCGTTCGATGGGTCTCCGTCCCCGGGCCAAGATTAATGTTGATGCAACGGTAACGAGGAATGTAGACCCTTCCCTGCAAAAAAAAAACGAGGAATGTAGACCCGGGTGCTGTAACTCCGATTGGCCAAGACCATGATGGCCTATTTTTGGGTGCTTCACTCATTGTAACTAGTGGAATCATAGATCCTGCAACACTTGAAGCAATTGTTGTTAGGCAAGTTTTGGCTCTCTCAAAAGACCTGCACGTGCAAAGGATTCATGTCGCGTCTGAATGCAAGGTAGTGGCTGACGACATAAAGCAATGTAGCACTAAGCGGCATGGAGCAATCATTCGGCAAATCATAGAGCACTCTAGTGTTTTTACTCCAACGTTGCTATACACACGACGTCCTGTGCACGATTTACGGACGATACTATTAATCAAGCCGTTGGTGTCAATCAAGCTCTCTGCAGGACACCGTTCGATTGCACATCGTGCATGTATCGTCCATGCACCAGTCGTCCACAAAGTAGTTTCACTTTTAATCTTTGTAATTCGTTCATGAGTTTAGGAGCTCGAATTTCGAGACCCAAAATTTAGCGAAGCATGCTTTACACTGTGATCTTTTTTGTCCCTGTAAACATCGTGACAGATCAATAATGTCTCAAAAGAACAATAAAAAAACCTCCCTCCCCCTGCGATCGTGAGATGTATATTCAAGTCCTTAATATATTTACATGCAATAGTGTTACAATTCCTTGAAAACAAAAGTGTGCAGCTAATTAACGAACTTCCGTCTAGATAAAGAATGGTTTTCAGAAGTAAACGGAACATTTCTACCGAGAGCTTGCTGCGTGCATGCAGTTTGCATCGCTGCTGGATGCGGCTGATCTCTTGGAACAACAATGTCATGCAGTTCCTATTTTGTTTCTATGTCAGCCAGAAACGCCAACATCCATGGCGTTTTCATGTGGATTAGAAACGCGGCATACCTCAACGTTTCAATGTGGAGCAGAAACGCGGCATACCTCGGCGTTTTTATGTGTCGCAGCAACGCCGCGGGATCTGGCGTTTTTAAAAGGATTAGATCATGAAATACTTTCAAGTCAAGTTCATTTTGCGACAAAGATCATTGTGAAAGTCAGAACAATGATTTCGGCACCGGAACAATGGTGTGCGTACGTGCTGCTTAGTGCCTTCGCTACTTCGTCATGCAAAGTAGTTCTCGTCCGTGCAGACGCATGACTGAACGCATCGATGTCCGTCGGTTGACGACCCGGCCTCATTTCCCCGTTGCTATCAGGCCATTGCCACCGTACGTCGTTGTTCCTCGCTGGCTCTGCCGCCCTACGTCGACCAGGAGGGACACAGAAGCTATCACCGCATGACTGGGATCTTTAATTTGCATGCAGGATAAGGTTGCCCCGTCAAAAAAACTCCAGCCTTAACCTGACGTAAGAGTCCCTAAGTAGGTGTAGCATTGCTGCTTAACCTGACGCATGTGAGGTTATTCTCTCGATGCAATCATGAGCCTAATCAGATCATTGTGTTCCTATCCAGTGACGATGAGACAGATGATAGATTCAAGGCATGTTACCATGGACGACACACTGGTCATGAACTGGCCTCGGCGCCATCTATTTTTTATCGCCATTCCTGCTGCATTAATTGACTGGTTCGCTTAGCCACGGTTGCGTACGTTTGATCATTGAGGCGGTTGTATGGAGGTGGAAGTTAGCACATGCTTGCATACGCAGCAACCAGGTTGTCACGCTGACACAATGCACCAAGTCTACGTCACCTGACATCTAGTGCCAAAACATTCTTGTCTGCAGCCACGTAGTAACTGCTAACTGGTGTTAATTCTATCATGTAATCAACTAACCTTGGCCTCCCTCATGGACCCCGTAATCAGCTAATGTCCATGGCGATCAGGTTTTTACTGCTCCGTGTGGCCGAGTGAATTACAAAAACCATTGACATTAAAGGCTAGGGTTGCAGAAACCACACTTCTACAGTTTTGTGTCAAAAAACACTAATTCTGAGGCTAATTTTTTGAAAAAACATTAGTAGTCCGTTTCGCTCGTTTTAATCACGTTTATGACAGCTGGGACCCGCTGCACAGGCTGACTTGACACAATATAACGGATTGCAAATAGACATAATAGAACGGACTACACTGTAAAAGAGCCTAAGAGGATAAGGTCATTTTTTCACATTAAGAAAAAGAGGATTATGTTCTATCTCCCTCCTGTGACCGTTGACTCATGCCCGCTGGTCGGTGGAGCTCGAGCTTGCCAGCAGCACCTCACCTACAACATGGCCGCCTGGCCGCCGGCACCGCTGCTCGCGCGCACGCGCAGCTGGCGCGGCTGCTGCTCGCTCAAGTGAACGGCTTCTGCTGCTCGCTCCCGTCGCCGCTGCTGCTCGTGGTCGGCGCCGCTGCTGCATATGGCAGGTCGATAGGGAGGCGCACCAGAGAGCTCCGCCGCCGCCGCCCCTAGTAGTGCCCCACATCGGCCTCCGCCGCGCCCGCAAAAGCTGTCGCTGTCGGCCATCAGAAGCTGCTGGTGCCGGCCCTCCGATACCCACGGCGGCTACGGCTCCAGCGGCCGCGAGAGCTGCTGCTCCGGTGCGAAGGGGGAAGCGCTAAGGGCAGCAAGGGCAGGCACGTCGGTCTCTCGTGGGCTGGCCGCGCACGGGGAGGGAGTGGCCGCCGGCCTCCACCATGGGAGATGAAGGTCGCGAGGACCCGATTAAGTTTTTTCAGGGGTCATTATGTAAAACAAAATTGTGTCCGGATGTCCTTGGCTTTTTAGTTTGCCACGTCACCCTGTCCAGCGGGACCCACATGCCATAATCGTGCTCAAAATGGCCTAAGCCATCGACTAGTGTTTTTTTTTTTGCAAAAAATTAGGCTCAAAATTAATGATTTTTGGCACAAAACTGTAGAAGTGTGATTTCTGCAAACCCTACCCTTCAATGTAGATGTTTTCTGCAATTCACTCCCTATGGCCCTGCTGGTTCTTTCAGCTAGCTCGGCAGCGGTGGCTCAACTGAATATCGGCTTCTACAGAAAGACATGCCCCGACACCGAGAAGATCGTCCGCCAGGAGATGGCCAAGATCATCACCTCCGCGCCCAGCCTCGCCGGTCCGCTCCTCCGTCTCCATTTCCACGACTGCTTCGTCAGGGTACATAACTTACATGTTCTTGTATTTCTACTACTATTGATCATGAAATATATGCTTACATGTCTGTGCATGCAACGCAAATTAAATTGCAGGGTTGTGACACCTCTGTCCTGCTCGCATCCACCGACGACAACGTGGCGGAGAAGGACGCCAAGCCGAACAAGAGCCCGCGAGGGTCCGGCTCCGTGGAGCGCGTGAAGGCCAAGCTCGAGGCCACGTGTCCGGGGATCGTCTCCTGCACCGACGTGCTAACCCTCATGTCCCGCGACATTTGGCAAAGGGACCCTTCTGGCCAGTGGTGCTGGGCAGACGAGACGACAGGGTGTCAAGCGCCACGGAGGCCAGCAGCGAGCTGCCCCCGGCCTCCGGCGACGTCCCCCTGCTCGCCAAGATCTTTGCCTCCAAGGGCCTCGACCTCAAGGACCTTGTCGTCCTCTCCGGCGCCCACACGCTCGGCACGGTGCACTGCCCGTCTTTTGCCGACCGGCTCTACAACAACACTGGCGAGAATGCCCTCGTCGACCCATCTCTGGACAGCGAGTACGCCGACAAGCTGAGGATCAAGTGCAAGAGCGTTGATGACCGCACTATGATGTCAGAGATGGACCCGGGGAGCTTCAAGACCTTTGACACCAGTTACTACCGCCACGTCGCCAAGCGGAGGGGCCTCTTCCGCTCCTACGCCGCGCTCCTCTTCGGCGCCACCACCAAGGACTACGTGCAGTGCATCGCCACGGGCAAGTTCCACGGTGAGTTCTTCAGGGACTTCAGCGAGTCCATGATCAAGATGGGCGACGTTGGCGTGCTCACCGGGACCAAGGGAGAGATCAGGAAGAAATGCTACGCCCCCAACTAGAGTTCGTTGATTCTTGTAGTTGTAGTTGTAAGTCGTAACTGCACGAGTTCGAGGATGTCTGTCTGATACTGTTCATTGTAGTTGTATGATTTATATTATCGTCAGCAATAACAGTGAGTAAAAACTAAAAACATTCTTTAATAATCATTGAATCGATATCTCTGCGCCGGTGTGCCGGTCTAAATTTGGGCCAATCGGCTGCCAAGCATTGGATTTGGATGCGTGAACGGCTGAGATTGCCGCTACCAAGTCATCTTCCTCCTTCCGCACGCACGCGCAAAACGGAAAAAAGAGTAGTATCTCTCCTCCTGCTTGCCCTTGGCCGCCGTGTCGCAGCTCGTCAGGGACACTCGCCGTCGAAGCTTGTCAGGGACGCTCGCCATCGACAGCTCCGGTCGTGTCACCCTCCCTTGGTTGCAGCACCGCCGGGTGAGAGTTCTCGCATCATCGTAGTCCGCCGTCATAGCTCTTGATGCGCCCGTCGCAGCACCGCCATGCAGCTCCGTCGTCGCCGCTCGCCATTGTTAGCTAGCCGTTCTTCGTTTGAAGCTTTTCTATAAGCCCATTGTAGCTTTTCTCGATGCCGGTTGCACCTTTTGGCGGCTACACGGTGGCCGACCTCCAGCTACCTCGTATCCAGTTGAAGCTTTTTTCAAAGCCGGTTATAGCTTTCGTGGTTGCTGGACGTAGCATTTTTCAGCACTGGTTGTAGCTCTGACGTACATCTTTCGAAGCCCCTGCTTTCTTTGATTCAAGCATAAAATGTTGTTGGTTCCAGCTCTGGCTTTGCCAGTTGTAGCAAAAACAAAAGTTGGTTCCAGCTCTGACTTTGCCGGGACAAAAATCATTTACTGCAAAAGCCCTTGTTGGTCACTATTTCCACCGGTCGCCGTGGTAGCAAAAAATCTTGCCGGCAGGAGCCTTTTGTCTTGTCGTTTTCAACAAAATGAGGCGGCCGCCGACGTCGATGTAGAAAACACCCCAGGCGATGCACCGAACCCACATACTGGTTCCAGCTCTAGATTTGCCGGTTGCATCAAAATCATATGTTGGTTCCAGCATCCCTGTACCGTGGGTGTGCCTCGCTGCCGCAGTTATGTAGCTAGTCCGCCAAAGCTAGGATATTGCTGGAGCTACAGACGGTGCGCTGGCAGAATAGTCGGAGCTGCGGATAAGAGGTGGTTGTGTGTGGGGGGAAATCGCTGGCCATGGGGTGGATGACGACCTCACCAATGAGATTGGCTGTGGCGAGCAGGGGTCGATGTGGGGGTATGTTGGGGAACGCAGTATTTCAAAAAAATTCCTATAATCACGCAAGATCTATCTAGGGATGCATAGCAACAAGAGGGGAGAGTATGTCTACGTACCCTCGTAGACTGAAAGCGGAAGCGTTAAGAAATGCGGTTGATGTAGTCGAACGTCTTCGCGATCCAACCGATCAAGTATCGAACGCACAGCACCTCCGCGATCTGCACATGTTTAGCTCGGTGACGTCCCTCGTACTCTTGATCCAGTTTGTTAGAGTTGTGTCGAATACTGTGTATAAGGTAGGTTACAATTGGACTATGAGTTGTATTGTGTTTACATAGGATGTGGAGCATGTCCTAGTAGGACACTTGTATCCTACGCCTCTCTTATATAGTGGGGGTAGACACACAATGTAACCTATGCCAACATAGTAGCACAGTCGCGCAAGGGGGAGCCGGCGGCGTGTGCCGGTGCCTGGGTGGCCGGTGTGCGGTATTGTGACAGTGTCACGGGGGGGAGCGCCTGTAGTCAGGCCCGGGGATGTAGCCATATCGGTGAACTTTGTTAACAAATTTTGGTGTCGTGCTAGTGTGATTGCTTGGTTCTCGGATGATCGACGATATGCCTCGGATTTATTCTAACAAGTGGTATCATGAGCAAGGTTGTTCGGAGGCAGCAGATTGTTGATTTAGAGAAGGGGTCGAATCTGAGTTATAGCCGGCCATCGGCCTGGATCTCAGTGTGATCGGAAAAAGGCAATCAGAACAGTTATGCGAGTTGCGGCGATCAACAACAGGCGAGTATACGCGTAGGCGTGGTAGTGGAACACGTGCGCACGCGGGATGTGTGGCAATCGATCGGATGGATCGCGGTTGATCGGGCAAGCATCAGGGGGCGCAGGTACGTGCTCGTGGGATCGTATGGAAGCTGGGAGGCCGGCCTTGTGCAAGCCAAGGCCCATGTGTGGGCGCTGTGGAGCAGATGGGCCAGCTGGATGGAGCGTACAAAGCCAGGCAACGAGACCTAGGCAGGGATAGCGTTGTTGCAGGTGCGTGCAGTCGAACTGAGATTTGTTATTGAAAAAAGGGAAACGTTTCCAGACGGTGCATCGGCCAAAGCTTCGGCCGATCGCACGCCTTATCATGCGCCCAGCGCGAGCGTAGTGGGACGCGCCTCCTTTTTTTGTGGGCCCATGTAACCATCCTTCCTCCTCCCCCGATCCAATCTCCCCTTTTTCACCTCAATGTCGTGAGCTCACCCTCCGTTCGCCGCTGCCAAGCTGCATGCCTCCATCGTCCCCACCCTCCACCCCGCTCCTTTGTCGACAACGATGCTGCATTTTTGCTGCAAGTGGTCTTGAGGAAGCTAGCACCGACGCTCGATTTTGTTGCAACCAGGACGACATCGAGCGTCGCTGGCGGCGATGGCGCCTGACTTTTGCTACAACTAGATGTTTTCAAGTGTACAATGTTGCAACCGGCAAAAACGAAAGCTGGAACGGGCATTCACGTTTGCTGGAAGCGTTTTTTAGTTTTGCTTGAACCGCCTACCGGAGCTCTTGACGCCCTCGCTGGCGACGCCGTAAAATGTTACAACCGACCAAACAAAAGCTGGAATGGGTATTCAATTTTGCTGGAAGCGTTTGTCGATTTTGCTTCAACCAACCCACGTAGCTCTGATTTTGTTGCAACCGGCAACCTGCAAGCTTCTACCGGTGAGTTTTTTTTGCTTCAATGGCGACAGATGGAAGTGGCGACCATGGATACGACACCGATGCGAGCGGCATGCACCTGGCGGCGAGGGTCGGCGAGGGCGCCTGGGCGCGCACCTAGTGTTGCAACCATGGGGGCAGCAAGGTGCAACCGTTGTTGGCCGGTGCTACATAGGCGTGATGTCGAAGCGGCGACCCGCCATGACGAGGAGCTGCAAAGAACACGACGGACGGCGATGAGGGATGCGAACGACGGCGACGAGGTTGCAAGCGCAGCGCGGGAAGGCTAGTGGTGCGGCTCGCTGTCGGGTGCGGGCGCGGCACTCTCCTTCCTTCTCCTTTTCCCCCGTGCGGGAGGTTGATGATGGGTGTTGTAGAAGACGGAAGAGAGAGATCTAATGGTTGCGCGTGTAGATCGAACGGATCTGGCCAGACCGGCCAAAACTTTCGCTTGGTGCGTCGGCGCAGAGTGCTGCCCAAAAAGGGTAAGGGACCGAGTCCCAAGAGGAGCCGTGTTCTCCTCGTCTCTGTGACAAAGACCTGCAGGCTAGTTAATAGTAGCGGCAGCAGCCGGCAAGGTAGACAAAGGAACGAGAGGCAGCAGATCAATTAGTGGAGAAAAATTCATTGATATGTATCCATTGGAAAGCACAGACTTGACAAAGCAAAGCTATCATTAGATATTGAGCCAGGAGCATATCATGTGAAATATCAAGTGTGGTTGGATTTTTCTATTAGTACACAGGGGTGTACCTCATCCGGTTTTGCTCATGTACTTGGGGCATTGCGGTGGAAGCTCGGTTAATTTTTCACTGGGTCAGTCATACGAAGAGCCATGGCGCCAACGGGTAGCATGTTTGAGGTGGAGAAGTTCAAAGGAACATAAAACCTTGGGTTATGACAGACAAGGGTGGAAGATTTGTTGACGCAATATGGATGCTTGAAGGCGTTGCAGGAAGTCATGTCAGCTAAGATGGAATTATCATGTGATGGATGGAACTTCACGGAAGATGATTTGGGAGTCTGGGTCGGACTGGACAGTCTGACGGATCGACATGAGTCGGTTGGTACAAAAGACGGTGGTGGGATCGGCGAAGACGATGTAGGAGCGTGGTGCTGATGGTGACCGACTTCTGGGCGTGGAAACACGTGGCCCAGGCCAGACGGCTTGTGTGACTTCGACAAGACTATGGCACGGGGTTGATTCAAGGTGATGTACACGCGGAGCTTGAAGTCGACGGGGCATAAGGGTGGACTGATCATCTACCATGGAGTCATGTTGAAGGTGGAGCTGGAGTCTGGAAGACTTCACTCGATGATGATTGAGGGGCTACGACGTAAGAGCTCAGAGAGTCGAAGCCTATTTCAGTGAGAAAAAAGCGAGTGACACGTAGTTCAGACTGGAGCCCAATGGTCTGATAGAAGCGTGAAACTCGTCATCGGTCGGTGATGATCGGTGGTACTCTGTAATGGGGGTTGAGTGGTGTGGTTTCGCGACCCTTGAGACTCGATCGGGACAAGAGAGGCTCGACGCGGTAATAGCGGCGAGGCACACACGGCATGAAGAAGGGCCAGGGCTCTGGTGGTCATACATGTGATGAGACAACTGCGAATTTGACTCGGGATGAGTACAAGCTATTGTGAAATTCCTTCAAGTTTCAGACAGGCGGTCAAGAAAGGAGCGGTGATGTTGAGTTCAGGTAACTCTTATGTGTGACACCCAATATGTGAGTTGTTTATTTTCACATAGGTCAGTGATCAGTGTGTGATGGCGTTGGACTGATACTCTGGAAGTTGGGAGCACAAACTAGAGTAACAAGGAACTTAATTTTGCTCGAGTATTGACCGTGGTCAAGAAAAGAAGGGACTACAAGTTGCAGGTGGAGTCATATGGAGTCTTTGGAGTAGCAGCGGTGCTCATGAGATAAGCTCAAGTCCAATGTACATGGAAGTTTAACGCATGGACGAATTCAAGGTGGTGGAGAATATTCGCCAAGTTGGAGTTTGTTAGAGTTGTGTTGAATATTGTGTACAAGGTAGG